ACCCAATTTTTTTAATTTAATTTAAAAAAATATAAAATTAAAAACAATGAGAAATAAATTTAAATTTAGACCAAGATAATATAAATCAGAAGTTTAAAGATTTAATTCAACTTAAAATAAAATCAAATATTTAATTGAAAAAATATCAAGATTTAATTAAGCAAATCATAAATGTTTTCTGTACAGAGGAAAAATAAAAACAATTCAGGAAAAAACACAGAACAGGTAATAGTCAAGCTAGCTATGAAATCAAGTTCTGCTTTGCTAATGACATGCCACAGCTTCCCTCTCTCAAAACGTGAAGAAAGACCACTGTTCTCAGAGTTGCCATTGATGGAAATAGAAATAAATTAAGACACGCAGCATCGTCCACGGCCTGGCTGCTAACCAATGGCCTGGCTAGCTGCTAACCGAATCTGATTCCACAGCCCAATTAAGCTGACTTGCCAACGATGAGGGAACACTAATCTCTAATGCTTTCTTAATGGGGCAAACTTCAGTCTCATTTGAATCCATGTCCTCAACCACGCAAGAGAAAACGCACAAGAAACGACCCTATGGGTCTCTCAGAACGCCTCCAATTCCTGCACTTCCTGGTTTCCCTCAGAACCCTCTGCTTAGAAAAACAATAAATAAATATAAAAAAACACGTTTTTTTTAATGTCCAAAAACTGTAGATGTAAACCTTAATTTTAAAAATAAATCTAATAATATATGTTCCCTTAAAATATATACAAGACCTTTAAATAGATTAGAAAACCATGTCTCTAATAGAAAACAAAATCATAAAGAAAATTAACATAAAATTCCAAATAAAACAATAAATAATAAAATTAGAAAAAATAATAAAATTTACCCAAACAATAAGAAATCACTAACAAAAATTTAAGGCCTCCTTCGCGTGGAGCGGTCCCCGGGAGATAACTAGAGTGATGAACAAAACACAATGGATGCCCTTTTTAGTGTCTTTAATCACTAACAGAAATCACTAACTTACTGCACGAATATTGATGATAGACGCAAGAAGCCTCGCGAGATCGCACGATAACTAAAGTGGATGGACAAAACACAATGGATGCCCTTTTTAGTGTCTTTAATTAAAT